CCACTTGATGTAGTCAAGACAAGGTAAATGAAAGAAGACATTATGTCTGAACCCATGCCCACTCCATTTATCCCCTCTATCTATTTTAACAGGAGTCTATAATGAAGAGGGAGTCTCTCCTTCCTTATTATGGACTCCTGATTTTAAATCTCCTCATTCTTTATTTGTCATTTGATTTTTATCCATCTCTCTCCTCCCCCTCTCTCTCCATAGGTTTCAGGTACAGAGAGGTCCTGATGATCCTACTCGCTACAAGTCCTATAGTGACTGTGTAAAGAAAATGATCCGTAATGAAGGGTAAGGGATAAACCACTTTCACTCTCAAACCTTATCAGATTTCATTTGATATTTGTGTTTATTTTATATTTTGTGTGTACACTGTATAACTTAGACAACACACTTGCCAATTATTTGTAACTGCTTACTTTTGTTGTATTTGTAGTCCATTGTCATTTTATAAAGGAGTCTTACCTCCACTAATGGCCGAGACTCCTAAAAGAGCCACTAAGGTATAATTATGATAATGTTGCTAGTATCTTGCTTTGATGTATTGTTTTTTAGTTTTTTACATTTGAGCAGTATAAGTCTTTGCTGACCAGGAACAGAGATGCAACAGCTATGGTTAGTATTAGTATTAATACAAACTAGTAACTAGGTTAAGCATTAGAAATATTTTAAGTTCCAGTGGGGTTATGCTTTTGCTGACTGACCACTGGACATTTTGATTTAAGTCATTTCCTTAAATTGAAACTGTTTTGCTGCACACTGTTTTGCTGACTGTCCTTCTTTATATTGTACTTCCTTTTCACCAGACCTATATAATAGCTGGTACTGGCTCAGGGATTACCGAAGGCATAATGATCACTCCTTTTGAAAGAGTGAAGATATCACTTCAGTCATTGCGCTCTCACATCAGAGATGTAAGTCCGCAATTTAAACTCTCATTAGTATTATTATTATTATTATTATTATTGTAAATAATGGTACTAGACTCCAGGGACCTTCTCTCATGCTCGTGTTATCATATCAAAGGACGGTTTTGGTCTCAACGGCCTCTACAAGGGGCTGGGGG